GGGGGGTGAGAAATTCTAGTCAATACGTAAAGTCAACATAGCACAGAGCCTCAAGCTTACAATCATGGCTGCCATTCTTGCTCTCTATAAAAACTTCGTTGCACTTGTTTGCACCGTAGACACGCGAATGGAGGGAAAAAACACTACAGCCTTGTAACAGTCGAGTGCGGATACAGTATTTTCCCTCTTGTCTTTCGTTTTGGTTCCAAATAGAGTCAATGAATAGTGCTCTCTATGGTGAACCAGAATTACGCCAGACTTCACAGTCTTGGATATTACAACACATGTCTATGGCCTCAAGTAACATGTTTGTTTGTTGTTGTTGTTTTCCTCCCAGGGGCGTCCTCTATATTGTTGCACAGATCGTGGGAGGCATTCTTGGCGCAGGCATCCTGTATGGACTCGCCCCTGCCAGCTATCCAGATGACCTGGGATCCAACAAACTGGACGGGGTCACATCCGCCCAAGGTGAGTCAAGGTTAACATTTGGCTTTACTTTTTAGCGTGTTTTTCGTTTGAGTAGATAGAACCACAATGACACAATGACGGTTACTTAGTGTTGGGAAAGTGACAGCCTGACAGAAGCAACAGAGATAATTTATTCTGAGCTTGACACCCAACGATTAGCTTCTACAAAGGAGCAAAGGGGTTAAAGAGTGCCCATTCGACGTTTGGACAATTGTAGTTCTGGACAGGAATTTTTTTTTAAAAGTAGGCCTATATATTTATACTGTTTCTCGCGGGAAAAGAGAAATAGTTTCAATCTTTTTCCCTCCTCGTCAGGGATGGGGGATTTCACAACAGGAGCATGCTTGTTTTCCGTTAGTTTTAAGTGTTTTGTTCATTTATGTTGTCAAGTTCTGTTGGTAGTATGGCTTTTAGATCGCTGGTTTCTGGAATATGCCCTTGAACAAGACGCGGAAGACTAAAAAGAAGGCGCAGCAATGGCGTATTTACTGTGAAACTGTTGGTTATATAGGCCTACATTACTCGTATAGAAGAACAAGTCAAAGAAAGGGCTGCACTATCATACAATAGTAAGTGTTGGCCTGCCACATTGCGTGAAACAGTTTATGTAATCATAAAGTAAAGTACAGTCCGTCTTTGGAACTCAAGTTTCCTCAAGCTCACAAAGAGGCCTCTTCCCCCCCCCCTCTCTCTCTCTCTCTCTCTCTCTCTCTCTCTCTCTCTCTCTCTCTCTCTCTCTCTCTCTCTCTCTCTCTCTCTTCATTTCTTTCTCTCTCCCCCTTTCTCTTTCTCTCACTCTTACGTACACCGACAATATTTCTACAGAGTTGCATGGAAGTATCGCATGTCTAGGCGAAGAGATTTTGCAAAGATTCACAGTAAGAACGTAAACCATGAATGGCACAATGAAACAGAGTAAGACTTGCAAAAAAATTTCGCGAGCTTTGTTTTTGGAAATTTTCTCTCCTGTTACCAGAGACATCGAGCATAATATGAAAGATAGGCAGAAATGCCACCCCTGAAACAGTCCTCTGAAGATTGGCTTGTAACCTTTTCTAGCCAGGAATGTTTATTACAGCATCCCGTCAGTACAATTTACCCGGGGCACATTTGGGAATTGGGGCAGTTGGGAGATGAGATAATGTTCTATAAAGTGTGCATTTGTTTATTATGTGAAGATCTAAGGGTGGGTCCATTTTGGGGATTGGAAGGGAGTGGGTGGAGGGCGATGCTTGTTTTTTTAATATCCTTGTTGTTTTTTTTGGCATGGAGGAAAAAAGGAGGGGGGGGGGTGGCAAATTGTTAGGCTATTCAGACAAGGGCTATATTCAGGTCTGAAGGGCAGAATGCGGTGTACAGTTTAGAGAAGGGCATCCCTTTGAACTTTGCCTATTGACTATAATAATATGCTGAAACATGACGACACGGAACAACAATAAAACAGACCAAAAAAATGTCTTAAAAAAAACATGCAACTATGGTTGGATTAATGTGGACCTATTGATTGGGTGAGGCTATCGTTAACTGCATTTTATCTTCAGGTGAGACTGTCTTATTATGAGAGTCCATAAACGTTAGAAGTGGGTAAGATGGCTGAACTTCCGGTTTTTCATGTGAGCTGCAAGTCTCATAACTGAAATAACCGCCTCTTGCAACGTTACTGCATAACGTTCTTAGGACGACTTGACAATTAATGGTGCATAAATCAAGTGAGAACGTAGACGCACGGCAGGTGTAGAATGGTGCTCGAGAATCTCTGGAGCTCTGGGGTGCGATCTCGTGCGCGCACATGACAGTTTGTCTGAAGTGTTGAGTAGTTATGCACTACTTGGCACTTCGAAATTAAGATAAAGATAATACCGGAACGAAGAGGGGCGCAAGGG